TAATGCATGAAAATCCTAACCTCAAAAAAATCACCCGTTATATGTAACTCCTGTTGGCCTGTCGTTTGGTTGGTTGGTTGGTCGGTTGGTCGGTTGCTGCTACATTTTTTGGCTAAATTATTTATTCTGAAGTTTAAGGTTTTATTTTACACCTTCTTACCGCTCCAACTGTGTGGTTATGTTCAAACATACATATGTATAAACTGTGTGTACATATATACCTTCATTTTAACATTCACTCATTCATTCATTCATTTATTCATCTACTCGACAATGCACTCCCCAACTCTCTCAGACTAACACTACAGCTGGCCACTTACTTATTTATTCATTTGCCAGCATTGTTGGACAATTTCTGGCAGCCAGCAGCACTTCGAAACGATATTTTTGTGCGGCTTCATTTTGCTGCAACCTTTTAATTTGTATTAAAATTCTAGTTGTCCACAATGCTGAAGCTTCTAAATTAAATTTACTTATTTTGTATGAGTTAGCCACAACTTCGGCTGTTTATTCTCTGTTTTACCAGCAACTGGCCAGAAATTCTAAAGCGCTTAATATTTGTGTACCAAAGAGTAAGGCATTGAATTCGTGAGCTGGAAACTTTAATTAGTTAAAAGTAAACTTTTTACGGCCTGCCTGGATTAGTGCATTTCGATGGCTGAGTGGAAGATCGATTTTAATCTTTTTTATATGGCTTTGACCAAAATATTGTATCAATGCGTGGTGGTGAAATTCCAAAACGACTTTGCACTATCTCATCCATTTTTTTTTTACAGTGGTTCAAAATTTAAATTTTTAGGTCACAAATTAATTAAGTTACATATAATTTTTTTATGTATAAATTGGCGTAAAATATAATTATTTTCTTCAAAGCCGGAACTGAACAATACTGTTATTGGTGAAAATTGTCATTGAAAAATTCACTATGAAGGAAATGTTCTACAATTAAGTGATACATACCAATCGATTTCTTTTTTCGCTGAGGATCATATTTTAAAATAAATTTTTATTTGTTATTTTTATGCAAAATTTAAAAAAAATAACAATTATTTTGGATTTTTATTTTATAAATCCAAAATAAGAGTTTTTTATCTAAATAATCTGTAAATAACAGTTATTTGCTATTTTTATATTATATGTCTTCGATAACAGTTATTGAAGACTTTTATTTATAAAAGTCATCAATAAAAATCAGTCACCGACTTTTATTTTTTCAGTCGTACGTATAAAAGTCATTATCATTTTTAGCTGTTAAGAAGGTGTTGGAGAACTAAAAAGTTTAATACGACTTATATAAGTGGCTTTTATAGATATGATTTTAAAAATAAAGGTCTTCAATAACTGTCATCCAAGGTATATAATTTAAAAATCAAAAATAACTGTTAACTGCGGATTATTTAGATACAAATCAAAAATAATTGTTATTTTGGATCGATAAAATAAAAGGCAGCAAAAACTGTTATTTAGGGAGTAATTAAATAAGAGTCAAAAAATAATTGTTCAAGAGCGATTTTTTAATAAAAGTTGTAACTGTTACGGACCCTGCTTCAAAGGCATATACTAAAATTTAGCGGGCAATATATTTAACCTTAATTGGAATAAGCTCTATATACGGTTATTGAGTCACTATATTTGTGGATAGTGAAGCAGCATTGAAGGTAATAGGATCCAGAATAAAAAAATCGGGAATTGTTTGGAAATGTCACACCACGCTGACGTCACTAAGCCGTATCAACGTCATTCTATGCCGGATTCCCATAGCAATATTGAAGGTCAGATACGTCTCAGTGATGCCAATACATAGAAGAATCGTTCAGCTCTGTACTACCACCGTTGCTAGTCTCTTATAAGTCCACACTTATTTGGTACAAATACCAGCCCCTCAATTCTGTATTTACAATTAAAAATATAAACTCTGATGAGTAATTTATCTCAATCCAAATTGTATGCTCTATTTTTACATTTTCCCGACATGTTAAGAAATTGCTTTTTCTCATGCTACCATTTTCCTTTTTTTTTCCCTACCTCTTTGCAGTGACCACCGTCGAGCCGAACATGTTCACCACATGCATCCCAGTGGGTGGCAATTATACTCCTGGTGCCGGTGCAGCCACAAGCGGCGCATTCGCTCCCAACACACTGGCCAACTCGTCCAGTGACTCACTGTCCTCCGGATTCGAGGCAGCCGGCTATGCGGCCTACTCCACTGCGCTTAGCGTGACCATCGCCATCGGCTGCAGTCTGCTCATCCTCAACGTGCTCATTTTCGCCGGCGTCTACTATCAGCGCGACAAGACGCGGCTGGAGGTGAAGACACTGCAAAAGCAATACCAACAGCGTAGCATGCACCAGCAGGTGCCCTACCCGCCAGACCCCATCAAGCACGCACACTACCACATGGGCCACTCACAGAGCGCCAATGTGATTGTCGACGTGGAAAATCATGGAGGCGATCAGGGCGCCATGCTGCTGGCTGCTGCTGCGGCGGCAGCTAACGCAGCTGATGTTAAGCCACCGCCGCCGCATATTTGCGCCAATAGTGGCATGCAACTCAGCGCCACATTGCAACAGCAACAGCAACAGGGTGGTGGTAGTAGTGTTGACCTATGTGGCATGTCGGCAGCCGCCAAGCAGCAGCAACAGCAACAAGGTGGTGGGATTATGGTCAGCGGGTCACCAGACGTGGCCGCTGGCCTGATGGGAGGCAGCGGTGGCTGCAATGTGACTTATAGCACGACAACCAAGCAACAGCAACAGCAACAGCAGCAGCAACAACATATGCAACAACATCAACAACAACAACAACAGCAACAGCAACAACAACAACAACGTGAGCACATGCAGATCAAAGGCATGAGTTCACAAACATTCGGGCGCGCTGCGACAAGCGTCGGCGGTGGTGGAGGTGGCGGCGTTGGAAATGTTACCATGACCAGCAATCTCGCCTATAATCCCGGCATGATGACGCTGCCCAAAGCGGGCACATTACATCACACAAGCTCAATAAACTACGGACGAAACCCAGGTGGGGGCGGCGGCGGCGGCGGCGTCGGAGTGGGTGGCAGTAGCGGCAATGGTGGCGGTGGCATGACCGCCGCGCTGCTCGACTCACGCGGCAATTTATTACTAACCAGTGGCACAGGTGTCGCCATGGGCGATTGCATGACATTGCCCAGGAATCTGGCTGCTTCGGCTACTCGACACAGCGCAGCGGCAGGTAAGTGCTAACATAACCAAACCATAAGTCAGGCAGGCATAAACGCAAGTGTACATAACCACATAAATAGTAGGCACGGAACGAAAGGAGAGTGGAAGTGCAGTGAGAGGAGTGCAATGACGCGCATGAAGTGAATTGGACAAAAATGTTTGCTTGCTGTGATTTTAGTGGTCACATGTATGTATGCATTAGTATGTGCAATATGTGAACGGCTCGTAAACTGTAGTACCTTAAGCGGAGGAGAGTTAGATTTAATTTTTAGTTTTTCAATTAAAACTGGGATTGTGAAATTTTTTGATAGAAAAAAAAAATTCCATAAAGCCTCGGCGCGCATTCTGCTGCGTTGATATTCCAAATTATATGGATCCCTCCTCCCCTCTTCAGAGCTCGTGCAATAGGAGAGCCATCACAGACTATCTTATTAATATCTCGACCACTGAACTACCAGAGAAACTACTCCGCCATATTAAGGAATAGGGATGCCACCAATTGGAATAAGGATTTTTTTGTTTTTAACCTTACTTAACTAACACAGATCAAAAACAAACTTTTGATAAAAAAATTAAAATTTGCTGGCATGGCACGAGCTTTGAAAGTAGATTCATTGTAGGAATTAAATTTTGTTGTTATTTTCGCAAAGTGAAATGATATAAAAAAAAATATATGAGTAAGTGTTTACCTCAATTTTCACAATTTTGCAGGTAGGTGATTTCGTATTATTATCACGTATTCTTATTATTAGTGAACTAAATAGTTTATTAATTAAAACATATAACTTTTTAACAAAAACAAAAAAAAAAATCGCGCATTTAAGGGTTAAGCTTTAGCAGCTTATAGCTGATGACAATACTTTTGTAAGTTATATGATTTTTTTCTGGCAATCCTTTGCGTTCGAGGACTTCTCAGGTGTCATATTTCAAGGGCTTATTCAAAATTCATAAATAAAAGTATTTAAACAGAGCAGTGCGCGCGACTCGTATGACTACGCCTAGAGACATGACCAACTTGAAGTATTTTGGGTCCTTCGATTTTTGGTTTATACATATGTACATATACTGTAGAGTATTCGTAATGTAAAAGAATCGCGTCTTTATGCTTGAAATCTTTAAACATTTGAATTGGCGCAGCGAATAACGTTGTAAGCGACAAGAATACAATTTTGCATAAATAAAAAGAAAATGTGTTTAATGACGCACAGGAGTATTCAATAAACTTGCACTTAAAGTGTAAAATATTAATGTAAAATGTATGTTCCTTTGTACAATTATATCGTTAAATTTAAAGAAGCTTGTTCTAAGAAAATTGTCGCTTACAACGTTATTCGCGGCGACCATTCAGTTGTAGTAATTCAATGAAAAGCTTCATGTGACTCAAAATGTTTGCCTGTGCATGAATTCTTGTTAATCTCCTTCCTACTTAATCCAATTTAAATGAGTCTTTGTTATCTGGTTTACCTTCCTTACTCGTTACTTACTCTCCTAATCTGTTGAATAAACGCAAATGAATTGAACAGCATGACGTCGACAGAATTAAGCAAAAGGCACAGAAATTGAAATTTATTGCTCTACTACAACATTACAAGTACACACGACAGTTTCTACTTGATTCTATTAGATTAGGATGGCCCGCCAAAAAAACAAGAAGTTTTTCCGCCAATATTAGTATTAAGATTTAAGTGAGCTTGACCGAAATTGAAAATTACCTTCGAAAATCACATTACACATTTTGATTCCGTTGATAAAATTTTTAAACATTTTTGTTCAGACAGTTTAAGCTTAAAACTCTCCCATCAACCAAGGTAATTTTTTTGGAAAAAATATTTTAATTGCGCAATGGGTTCAGCTCACTTAAAATTTTATTTTTAGCCAAAATATTTTAGCCTTAAAATATAATAAATTATATAACTCCTGTGAAAAATACAGTACACATTTTTTTAAGGACAGTAATCCACCCTAATGTATATACATACATACATATGTATGGATGAGTGTAATACTATATACTTCTCAAACATACTTGTGATATGTATGTATATATTTAATTGCGCTTTGCGGGATATTCTTGACTTTTACAGGCTAGCCACAAATAATTACACCATTTGACAAATCTGCATATTTAAGCTAAAATTCACAGCCATTAAAATATTAATTTCGAGCTGATGACATACGCATTACAAGGCCGCATTTCTCGTTGGAGATAGACATATATATATACAAACGTCTGCACATACAATATATGCAATATCATTTTCAATTTAATGGCTTAATTAGCTTTTTGAGCTGAATCGATTTACTGAGAAACATACACACATTTGTATGTACATATGTGCTTCTTTTTCACTGAAATTGCTTTTAATTTGATCTGCAGAGCAGCTTTCAGTGCGGGTGTACTCGATGATTCTCGCAGGAAGCTGCTAAATTACAAGCAAATATTGACGCAAGTGCTACACCAAACAACGTGCGGGTGTGCACATACGCATACCTAGATACATATGCATTCATATATATGCATGTATGTGTACAAATAAGTTTAAGACTTGAAATCGCGTGAAGTGCAACTGCTGGCGCCGAAAAATTCTTACTGATTTCCTGCTTTCGCGAAGCACTTTTCAAAATTAAATTTATGCACACGCACACGCGTAAGCACTATAAGCATTCACACAAGCACACATGCATAGCTTTCAATATACATATGGAGAATTTAAACTTCTGCATAACTTTTGGAGATACCTTTTTGTGTTTTTGGCATACCTATACCCAGTGGGAAAAGTAGTAATGCATTACTAAGGCGTGTTAAATAAATACTGTAATGTATTTCTTATGAGTTCTAAATTCTATTACTGTTTATTATTAAAAAAAAAAAATAAAATAAAAATTATATGTAATCAGCGTTCCAATGTGTCCAAAAAGTCCCGAAAATTTTATATTAAATCGCTTACATTTCTCGCATTTTAGAAAGTTTTACTGATTATTTTTTCGATTAAATTACATTGAGTTTTCCCACTGGGTATACATGCACATGTACATACACATACATGCAGCTGATCAGTCTGTTGAGTGGCAAGAAAACGCCAGGTTGCAATCGTTCAGCGCAACACTCGAGTAAGTACATACATGCAAGGATGTGTGTGTTATTTCAGTACGCAGTTATTTAAAAATGTATTCAACCTGTTCGTTAATACATATGTAAATACGTACATATGTAGTGTTACTTAATTTCATTTTGAACAAATGCATGAAATGACGCCAATAAGTGAATGAATGCATGAGTAAATGAAGTTGCTTATGAAAAGCTGCAAAATCAAGCCAAATTTGTTTATCGAGAAAGGTTGAAAATATAAAAAAAACTCACGACTCATAAAATCGTGAAAAGATTAACGAAACTTTTCTTTGAAATTAACCACATGCAGTAATATATACAGACAATCTTGCATGTATTATGAATTTCCGCTTTATTCGGATCAAAATGCTACGGGATTACCAAAGGATCGCTATTTTGGTATGAAAGCAGAAAGAATTTGGAGATACGAGCGTTAACCCGAAGAAGACTAACCGGGTTATTTTCTTCGGAAAGCCAAAAAAAAACCCCACGGTATTTCACTTGTTCGAGAAAAAATTATGCACTTTTTCATAATAATCTATCGTGGAATCCGTACCTAAATAAAGGCAACAGAGCAGGACCTCCATTTGGACCTCCCTTAAGCAAAGCAGGGCGAGTGGGAGTGCATTCAGTTTTTAACTCTCATCGCATACAGAAATCAAAATTTATTAAATCTAGTTACCAGGACAAAGCCCAATGAATTATGCCCAACGAAATCACAAATATCTCAACAAGTAGAGGGGTCAACAGGGATTCATAGGCGCAAGGCCCTCCATCGGAATGCTATAGAGCGCCATTAGATAAAATTGCTTTAACTGAATGATACAAATATACCAGTCAATTAAAAAAAGTAGGGTTGTCGTAAGACCAATGAAGAGTTGTTTTAAAATAGTGATTCACTGGAATTTAGTTCAATTTTTTTTTTTTTTTTTTACTTTTATAGATAGTTGTGGGCGTTGAAGTGGAAGTGCGTGCGAAAATAGCAATTGAACTAATATTTCTTCGTTGCAGACTTGCCAGTGCACATTTGTACATATGTATGTATGTATGTATGTATAAATTGGCTCTCATGTATGTTAGATGATAAGCAACTTTTATAAATGATAACACACACATTCATGGCTGTAGTTTAGAAGTAAAGCTTACACTGCGTTCTTGGTGCTAAATAAAGTTTAGATATAAGCACTTCCCCTATAGTTAAGTTCATTGTTTATAAATATGTATACACATCCATATATATATGTATAGGCTATTATATCCTTGCCATTTGACAGTAATAATTTTCCAAGTTTATTTCATTTTTTCTGAGTTGCAGAAGAGTTTTGTTGTTGAGACATACTGCGGAATATATTTATATAACATTTTATTTCTTCATTAAAAGAAGTGTCACTGCATGGCTAAACCAGGGAGTGTAATGATTTTTCCAGAGAAGAAAAATAAAGTAAGGAAACAAAGTATTTCCAATCGGGTAGCGCGTGTTCGACTGCCACTGAGGTCTATGCAGGAATAAATATTTTTTATCTGCCATGCATTTTCTTTTATCGATTTTGGCCGAGTCCAAAAAAACACAGAATTCGTTGCTCTCCTGACACCAAAAGGAAATTTCAAGTGAAGCCAAGTCCTTCCCCACTCGGCCTTTTCATTTCAGAGGAGCTTCTCTCTGGTAGCTTTGCTACCAGCAGCCGGTTCCAAAACGAATTCTTTCAGAGCTGGCCAAGCCAACGGGGCCTAAGCCGTTATCGCAAAATTAATTATGATCCCTAGCAAAGAGAAATGTCCAACTTGCTTGTTTCAGACATTTGTTTCAGTTTGGGAGGCGTTTTTTAAATCAAAGATGGCATGGAGTATGAATTTTATAATGAAGAGCAATTGTTTTTAGGAATCAGGTATCTCGCGTGCAG